TTTAACTAAAATTTTACGCAATCATGTCTGATTTATCTGATAAAATTTTTAATTTTCTTACTACCTCTCCATTAAAAAAGATTACCGCTTTTTCCGTGGTTTATCAAGCCATGGAAGAAAATCCATATATTGAACAAGATATTTTAAGAAACATAGTCAACGATGCTGTTAGTTTAGCAAAATATAAACATTCTCGAGATGTGAGAGCGCAAGAAAGACTCCAAGCGGTTTCTTTGCAGGTCAGTATGCTTTATAAAAATAAGTTTTTAGTGTCATATGATGATTGGCGCATTTCCGATGTAGTGAGAACAGATTTTTGGATCTGTGAGGGCTTTAGCCAATAGGGATATCCTATTATTGGATTCAACTCCACGAAGCGAGGATAATAAACCTGGGCACCCGATGCCTGCTAGTACTGGATTCAACTCCAAGGACGTATGGGGGTGCTCTGGCTTTAGTCCCACAAATTTGAAAGTCTATTTGTGGAAGACGGAGTTGTATACAATGTGTAGGCCACACAGAGGGACAACTTCGTTATAACGTTCTGATGACACGAGCTCGTGATATCAAAATTTTATTTTGTTTTTACCAAGACTAATGTATATTTTTTCTGCGCTAGTTCGATATTGCTTTCGAAGGCATTTGCAGTATTTGCGATATAGAGACGGAACCTCTTAGCGATAAAGAGATTAGGGATAATATGGGGGATTTGAGGAAGAAACTTTCGGTATTCTTGATTAAGATACTTCATTTCTAGCTTACTATAAAGAAAAAATTTATACATTCTTGTCTTATAGAGAAGCAACTTTATACATGCCGAAGGATTACAGCAAGGTTTAAAAGATATATCTATTTCTGACTTGACATGGCGTGATCCAATCGCCAGTCAGGTAATTAGTGACAGGTCAGATTTGGTAAAAGATTTGAAAAAAACCAAACCATCCGCATATAAATCTTTCATGAAGCCATTACAGAATATGAAACCTGTCATACCGGAGATAATTCAAGAAAAATGTAATGAGTTTGTGGGAAATTTTAGCATTGAGATTTTAGATGAGTTACCACATAAGCTCTCCCATAACAAAACTTGGAAGGAACCGGAAGAAGTTCTAGTAGAGATTACCAAAGAAATACTTAATACCCTGTAAGTAATTCTCATTGTAGGATTGTTATATTTGCTACTTGCATTAAGAAAATCTTTATCTCAAAGTGATAATGTGTGGAGGAACCCAGCTTTTTGCCCTAAATTCGAAAA